CTGTGAAATACCATCAAGTGTCCCAACATACGCATACATAACAGAAGTCCCTGAACGTGTTTTCTGCCTCAGGACATTTGCACCTACTGCTCCTCTGCCCTTATCTATCAGCATGGCTCCCTCACTTTCCTCTTCCAGGTTTCTGCTCAAATATTATTCCAACACTGAGGCCTCTCCTGACCCCTCAACTTCCTACCCCTCCTCACCCCCACAGGCACTTCCAATCCTCCTACTCTGTTTTGTTTTTCCCCATGGCTGTCATCCATTGGATATTCTGTATATCTACTTGTTTGTTTGGTTGTGCCTTCTCCCTCTACTGGACGCCAGTTCCAGGAAGGCTGAGGGTTCGCTGTTTCATTCACTGTTGTACTGCCAGCTCCTGGCACAGTCTTGGCACCCCACAGATGCTCGACAAATATTTTTTGAATGAATGGACTCTATCGGCCATAAAAACGTGTATATACTTTGATCCAGTAAACTCGCTCCTGGGAATTTAAGCAAATAATTCAAGGAAAGAGAAAAGGTATATGAATGCAAATATTTGTTACCATAGAGTTGTGTTTGTCAAACTTTCTTTTACTAAGAGCAAGGGGAAGGCTGACAATGGAAAATGAGCATGTGGAGTTGGGTTTTTAGGAAAGGTACCTCGGAAGAGAAAGTTTTGAATAGAATCTTGAAGGAAGTGGTAGATTTGGTTTAGCAGAAGAAAGACTCTGGCCAAAGACCCAGGGGGAGGACTGGGCCCTGGAGAATGAACGCAAAGGGCAGCAGTCAGTCATCTCATCAGGGGACCCGGGGGCGGTGGAGTTCCAGGACCAGAGAAGAGTTGGTGGGTGAGTGGGGCTGGGAGCTCATGGAACACACCTAAAATTCACTATAAACATGCTGAGCTTTTATCTCAGTAAATATTAGAGAACCCCAAAATATTTTAAGTGTAAAGTTTGCATGTTACAAAAACTGTGTTAGGGGCTGGCTCCGTGGCCCAGTGGTTAAGTTCGCGTGCTCCACTTTGGCGGCCCAGGGTTCACCAATTCGGATCTTGGGCGTGGACCTACACACGGCTCATCCAGCCATGCTACGGCAGCATCCCACATAGAAGAACTAGAATGACCTACAACTAGGATACACAACTATGTACTGGGGCTCTGGGGAGAAAAAAGTTGTTTTAAAATACCTGCAAACGTGTGAAATATCTGAGATTTGCTCTTCCAGATCAGGAAAGTTGCTCTGCAGTTCCTGGCAGATCCTGTCAAACACACGCCCACGTGCGTTTCTGAGCAGAACCCACGGATCTGCAAGGGCGGCCTTCTCTGTCTGGTGAACACCTCCACGCCTATTAAGGATCCCGTATCAGATCATTTGGGGGTTGTCAGCAATGTTTGCAACTCTGTCAGAAAAGATCTGAGAGTAATTTCAACAGAAAGAACGAAAAGTCATTCCCCTCGGGGAGAAAAGTCCTTAGAGAGGAAAACTCTTCAGGCAAAAATATTTGAGAACACAGTAATAACAACAAAATTCTCAGGGCGTGGGCAGATTGATCAAAGGACAGTTAGGGGGCTTTGTCTTAACTGACGAGCAAATTATTTAGGTACACGTAAATCTGACCGGTCATGTGAGTTTACCGGCACCCATTCATTCACTCGGTGTATCTTTATGGGACCTGTGTCAAATTTGGCACAGCACTGGTCTCAGACGTGTGGTCTCATGGAGCCCACGAGAGCACAGTTTCTGAGCTTAGCATGCCTAGAGCCATAAAGGTTGCACAGGTCCCAAATCTCTGACCTGAAACTCTTGGGGTGCTCTGTAACTCAGAATGTTCTGGATTTCAAAAGACAATAAGGTGTGGAGACCTTATATTTCCTAGCAGCCCCGTGAGTCCACAGCAGCACCCTGTAATCAACCACATTAGCATTTCCATAGCAAAACATAAATCTTCACCCTAAGCAAGATAACTAAAGACCATCCGTAGCCTCAGTTCAGGTCAAAGATTTGCTACCAAAAGAGTGTGCTGCAAAGTTATGGAATACTTTCCTTAAAATCCAGAGCTTTCTAGATTTTAGGATTGTGGATAAGGGTCGGTGGATTGCGGAAATGAGCTGTTTCCAGAAAGACTTGAAACTGCTGCAAGGAGAGAATGCATGAAATGCAGCAGACACAGTTGGGATCCCAAGAGTTCCAATGCTCAGCCTCTTAGCCCAGGCTAGACATAGCATTCACATCCAACACACGTGTGACCCACCAAGGGAAAGAAACATCTGTGGTCTCTGGTCATGGAGCCTTGACAGAAGCGGGGATCACCAGGAGGACCTTTGGTTTGCTGAGAACCAAAACTGGAAAGAACAGGGTGAAGTGGCTGCTCTGGAGATGTGGTTTGGAGAGATCAGGATTTGCTCGGGAAAGAGCCAGGCAGAGAGTGCCGACAGATCTTCAATTCTGGGAGAGGAACCGGGGCAAGATCGGGAGCGAGTTGATGTGCAGTTTGCTTTAGAATTTGCAATTTCACGCCTTTCCTGACTCCCCACAAAATCATGGGCAAACTCCCCGTATCTCATTAACACGCTACAGAGTTGCATTTAACCCCATGACACGTTGAACTGCTGAGACCTGCTTGAAGGTGGGTGTGAGCCAAGAACAGAGCCATCCTGGGGATCAAGCCAGCCCCTGGGACACACTGGCCCCCACCTGCACCCCATGTCAGTTACCGCAATCTACAATAGTTTGACATCCCCGACAGGAGCCCGTTGCTGCAGGAACGTTTTGTAAACATACTTTGAAACAGGAAGGTGTGGCATTGTTTTCCAGTGTAAGGAAATCTAAACGACTTTACCAACAATTACACAAAGGAAGCGAGGCCATTGATTTTAAAGAACACTAATAACAGGAGTTAACATATAGCACATTCCGGGCACTTTACAAAGATTAACTCATTAACCCTCGCAACAATCCCACCAGGCAAGCACTATATACTTTCATTTTATGGATGAGGAAACTGCAGCATAGACAGGTTTAATGACTCGGGAGAGGATGGGTGCTGAGACGGGTCCTGGCATCCACACCGTTAACAAATGTACTAAATGTACTAAACTATAAGAAGAAAGAAATCATTGCAAAGAATTGAATTGGACCCTAGATGATGATGCTAAAGGCGTGTCCTCCTGTGGATTTCTTTAGGGTATTGGCCAGGCCCTCAGAGTCAACATCCAGGTATATTTAATCTATGGAAAGTGATTGCAACACCCTCTCCCCAGCATGGCGCCTGGGAGATGCCAGTGCACTAGACAGCTTTACCGCTGGTGTGGTGCGCGCTGACTGGCCGCACACGTGAGCCACTCTCGTTCTATCACCATCATTCCTCAACGTGACTCCACAAAGCTGAGATCCCACCACCATTTCTGAAGATTAGGGGTCTTTCAGGATAGACCCAGGCTGCCCAGACACCCCACCAGTGTGGTGGAAGACTCTCATCTTCAGAGCAGGTCCAGGCTTGCTCTCCTGCATTATGCTAACCCCTGGCCTTGGGGAATGGGATCAGAACACCTCCACACTGTCCCAGCCAACTTCCCCATAGTGTCACTTCACAAATAATGCCCTAGTGGGCCCTGTGGTTCTGATGCCCTTGCTCTAGAAATGCTTTTCAGAACTCTGGCTAGTATTTCTCAGTGAATTAAGTCTTAGATGTTAATTATGACAAGCACCAAATGGGTAGGATCCACCGGAAAGCCGCTTCTCCAGGTCACGGAATTGCCAAAGGAAAAGTCTCGCACTGTAAACAAAATTGTTTTCTTTTCAACAATAATCAGTTTGATCCCATAGAGATCCTCCCAGTGCAGGCTACCATCTCTGTTTCCTTTGCACTAGGCCCTCAGGGGACTGTGCCAGTGTAGACGAGCAAGGAAACCAGTTTGCTGGCAGTTTGCAATGCTCCTACTACAATGGTGGTACTACAAGGCAATGGAAATGGAAATTGCTAGAGTTTGCAAACCAACGGACATGAAAAGGAGCTTCAGAGAGAACCTAGTCTTCGAAGCCTGGGTTCCTGCAAGAATTTTGGGGTCTGGGCAGGTCATTAGCCAGAGAGACCAATCAGAAGGATAGGTCAGATGTGGCAGGGAAGCAGAAGTAGTCAGCCTGGGAAATTCTGAGCTTAAGGTGCCCGCAGAACAACCAGGTGATTTCAAGCAGTGGCTGGGAATGCATGAGTAAAGCACAGGAAGGAAGTCTGAACAACACACGAGGGTTTCAAAGTCCACTGGAATAAGCCTTGTTATTTTGTACTGAGCGCCTTTGCACATGCCGTTCCTTTTGCCTGAAACGCTTTTCCTCTCCTCTACATCTATCAAGTCTGCTTTACCTAAAAGACCAGTTCAAATGGAACCATAAAAGTGGTCATGGACTCTTGCAGGCCAAGTAAACAGCTTCACGCCCTAGCTTCTTTCTGTGTTAATTGGGGCTGAGGTGAAAGGCTGGACTGAGAAAGACCCTAAACTCTGGGGTCAGAGTAATCTGGACTCGAATCCCAACTCTGCCACAAACCAGCTGTGTGACCCTGAGTAATTCACAACCACTTGACTCTCAGAGTCCTCTTGAGTGAAATGGAGACACCGTCTAAGTCACAGGCTCCTTGTATTTGACAAATAAATGCCTAACTGAGGCCACTTGGCGATGCAAGCTGTGGCACATTGCACTTCAATTGTTGAAGGGCCTGTTTTCTCTCCCCGTCTAGAGTGCGAGCCCCGCTGGGCGGGGTTCCCTGTTGTCTGCAGGTCCCCGTGCCTTGGCGCTCACATCGTGCTTAGCGCTGCAAAGAGGTGGAGGAGGACGTGGAGGAGGGAGACCCGCCGGTCGTTTGAGCAGGGCTCGTGGGAATCCTGAGCAGGCTCTGCTGTGAAATCACTCAGAAGTCACATCTGAGACCTACCAGACAGAGGCATGAGGCCAGCAGCAGCCTGCCACCCTCTGCCAGGAAGGAGAGAAATGTCTGCACCTGGGAGTCACTGTACCTTGGGGAAGCCGGGGCGGGGAGGCGTTGTCCTGAGGTCCGATCCCTGTTCCCCAGGGGAGCAGAGTGAAAAGCTGGCTGGGACTCGGCTCGGACACTGCGGGGAGGGGAAGATGGCCTCTGCAAGGATTTTCCTGGGAGGGCGCCCTCAGGGCGGCGAGAGCCTGCCTCAGGCACCACGACAGAGGGGACAACCAGGATGTGAGCCGCGTGGCTGCCCTGCTTTCCTAGAGAGCCGCCCTGCACGTTGCTGGGGACCAAGGGACAGAATCCTGCAGGACGCGAAGCTCAGCACAGCTAAGGTGTCCCGCCACCCAAGACCCAGAAGCCCAGATCCACCCGTGACCTGGACAACAAGACACCCACTGGGGCCGCTCCCAAGGGCGCCCGAGGACGCTTCTTTCCCCGCAACAGCGCCGGCGCCGGACAGCGACGGCTCCGCCCCTGGGGCGTGGCCCGGGAGCGTCCGGCCAATCAGCGCTGCGGGCGCGCGATCACGTGGCCATCGCCCGAGCACAGGCTCTTCCGCCTTCCGCCTCACAGCTCCGCCCAACGTGGCCAGAAGCCGCTGGCGCCGCCCCCGCGAGGGTCCTCTCGCGAGAGCAACCCAGACAGCCTGTCATCTGCTCGGTCCGCCACCGCCTGGAGCCGTGCCCCGAAATAAGAGAGGGCAGAGGGCGGCCGCCAGAACGAGGGCCAGGGCATCGGAGGGGGCTGCCGCAGGCTCGGCCCCCAAACCAGGACCGCCGGGCTCCGGGGGCGCACGCCGACCCGGCTCCATCTAGTCGCATCCAGCCGGGCCCTGGACGAGCACCTCCCGGGCCGGAAGCGGTGACTGGGTTTAACCAGGGGCGGCAGGGGGCTTCGGAGCCCGTGATCGTCCGGCTTTTCAGCATCTTCGTCACTGCTCACCACTCCAGCCGCTGAAAACCTGGAGGCACGAGCGGACGTCCCAGCAGGAAACCCGGGGACGACCTCATCTGAGATGTGATGACAGCGCGTGTTCTCGCGTCCCACGGAGGCGCCAGCTGCGCCCCAGGCGGCCTCACCCATCCCGTAACTCCCCTGCAGGGCGGCCGCGGCGTCCCCGTTGTAGCGAGGAGGAAACGGAGGCTCAGACGGGTTAGAGGACCGCGCCCAAGGCTGCACAGAGCCAGGCTCTGCCTCTCGGCCGGGTGGCGTCTCCAACCGGGAGCCCCAGGCGGTGCTGCTGAGTGACCAGCCGCAGGCCCGCGCTTGGACCCTGAGGTCTCGGGAAAGGCTCGGCGAAGACCCCTGTGCACTTGGTGATGGGCTGCGCACTCCATCCCTTGTCCCGGAGGGGCCAGCTGCCGAGCTCGGGTCTCCAGGGGAAGACAGCGGCTCACCAGTACCCACCGGAGCCCCCTGCATGCCTCTGGCCTTGGTGCTGCCCCTGGACCCGGCCTTCATCCCTGCGCCTTGCTCGCGCTGGGCCTGGAGGAAGGAGGAGGCCGGCCGTGGACTCCAGGTCTAATAAGGATGCTCTCACTATGGAGGGACCACTTCTTAACCACAGAGCCGGCGGAGAGTGAAAACTGGGCCCCCTCAGATACACTTCTGTGAGGGAATTCCTGAGGGACTATTAAAATCGCCCCAGCTTATCTTCATTCATATCAAATGAGCATTTGTCTCACGCCCAAAATGATACGTTGGTAGAGCCAAACCAATGTATTCAGCCATGCACAGGCGAGTCAGAGGCCCCCCTACCATTTAAAACACTCCGTGGAAATGCCTGAAATTCCCCCAGTAACCATTCTCTGAGGTTAAGAATCAAACTCTCTGGGATCATTAAAATAGATGAAAGGTGCTAAACCCCTGCATTTCTGATAGGAGAGGGGGTCAATTAAAGCATGGGTCCCCAGGAAGAGGGAAGAGGGGACACAATCAAGGGGAGAGGGCTTCCCTCCCAGGAGAGGCTCGAGAGAATCTAAGACGGATCTGTCCAATGGCTGCAGATTACTCAGGAAGTTAGAAGAGCTGCTTTGTCCAACTCCGTAACTACTCCCTGAGCCTCAGAAGGGTCTCTCCTGCCCTTGGTGGGGTTCTGAGACCACATGAACCTACCCAATGTTCACAGCCACATGTGGCCACATTCTGGGGATATGAACAGGAGTCCCAACACTCTACTGGCCAAACTTCCCGCTGAGCAGCCATGTCGGCAGAGAGAAAGATTCCAAAACCAGGCCTCTCCCAGGATTCACCAGAACCATTTCTCTCTCCCATTCTAGGAAACAAAGCAAAGCCATATTCAGAAAATAATGAGAAAGAGTCATTAAGTCAAAGGAAAAAGGAAAACAAGTCAATAAATCAGCTTTGTATGGCTCTAAAGAAGAGACAAAGAACCCCGAGGTGACATGAGCGTTAAACCTTGTTATTTATATGGGAAAACTTACTCTGTTTGGACATGCTCTTGACTCATATCTCTTCATCGGCTCAGGCTCCCACTGATTTCAGATAAAAGCCCCAGATTGGGAGTGTGGAGGCTGCAAAAGGGGCGCTGGTCATTTATCTTCTGAGGAAGAGATTTGACCTTCCATCCTCACCCTTCTGGAAATAAAGGGTAGATTCAGAAAGCCAGAGCACCTCCATAAACTTCCAGAAATATCGTCAGGATGAAGCATATGATCCAAGGGAAATTAAATCCACGTTCAGCGCCCTCACCACCAGCAGCAAACGCTTGTTCTGGGAGTAGCACTGCTTAGATATCTCATCAGAGTCAACCTCATGTGACTCTGCAAAGGGAGAGCAAGTTGCCCTGTCCCTATAGCCAGTAACCTTGTTGTTCCCCCAGTAAAGATGCCATCACTTCCAGCTCCATGGACTCTCGGGGCCTTTTACACCATGGTGTGGGCCATGCCTCCCCTTCCCTCCTACTCCACACCCCACCCCCCGGAGGCATGGCACAGAGCAGGTGCCGCTAAATATCCACTGAGTAAGCATCAGCACCCACAGCGGGGGTAGCACAAAAGAGAGGGCCTTAATGCAGGGAGAGCGCACCACCATCTCGTGCCCCGACCCCATCACCTCTTACTGGCTCTTCCTGCCTCTTAGGGGACTGACTCCACCTGTATTTCTGCCAGATCTAAACAGTCACGTCAGGGATCCAGGCGCAAGTCATTAGGACGAAGGAAGTAACAATGCTGTATTTGCACAGCACTTTGCAGTCTACACATAATATCCTTTCAGAGGTGTATCATTGTAACCTCCAGGTTAGAGGTCAGGACTCTGAGGCATAGTGTTATGGGCTAAACTGTTTCTCCCCAAAAATTCATATGTTTTCCTAACCCCCAATACCTCAGAAAATGACCCCATTTGGAAATAGGGTTTTTAAAGAGGTAAAGTTAAATGAGGTCATTAGGATGGGCCTTAATGCAATCTGACTGGTGTCCTTTTAAGAACAGGCACTCAGGACACAGACACACACAAAAGGGGAACCGTGTGAACATTTGGAGAAGACGGCCGTGTACACGCTGAGGAGAGAGGCCTCAGAGGAACCCACCCTGCTGACACCTGGATCTCCAACTTCGAGCCTCCAGGACTGCGGGGAAATGAATTTCTGCTGTTTAAGCCCCCCAGTCTGTGATCCTTTGTTATGGCTGCCCAAGCCGACTAATACCCACAGGGTAGTCACACAGCCAGTGAGCAGAAGAGGCAGCATTATACCCCAATTAGTTGATTTCAGCCACAGTGTTCTTTCCCTCCCCAGGCAGCAGGCCCCTCTGCATGAATTAGGAAAAGGCACCCCTTCCCCTAGATACGTTACTGCTGTCTGCCAGAAAAGACCCAGGATGACCCTAATGAGAATGGTGTCCCTGAACTTGCTCAGTGCGTGACATGCACTACCGTACAGGGTGGCCTACGGTGGAAAGCACACTTGGACACCCTCCATAGCAGAGGGTCACACAGGCCACTGATCAGGCTGAGGCTCCCCAAGCACCAAACACGGTGATCAGGAGCTAAGCTAACTGAGCCACTGAGGTCTCACAGATGTCCAAGCAGCCCCTACTTCATTATGTCTCACACAAGTCAGACTTCCTTTGGTAACGTCAGGGGCACTCACAGTACATAGTCACAGAGGGGCCGTGTGCACCGTGGCTCATAGGCAGCCCGAGCTTGCTATCACATGATGCTTTTGATATTGTAAGTACTGTGAAATCTACAGGTAATTGGTTTGCTTTTTGCATAAATAATCTGAGGTCTTGATTTAATCTTGCTTTGGGTCAACTGACCCAAATGTTATATATCATATTGTAACTTGGTTACCTAAAATTACTTATTTTCAAAAGAGCGGTTTTCAAGACAAGAACAACGAGCAGAGTAGGGTGACGGGGAGTGGGCACAGTTTGTGTGGCCATCGTCCTACCATCAGCCTTCTCATGAAATAAGAATCTCTCTCTCAAAAACCCATTATATTTTCTGATGGTTAAGACAAATTGCTAAAGGATTTGTAGGAACTGCAACTGTTTCTGGATGTATCCTCTGAAGAAAAAACGTATTTGTTTTAAAAGCAATTTTTCTAACAGTAAGAAGGAAAAATGATAGGACCACACAAAAGGAAAATCACGGAGAGCAGAATAACGCCAGAGGAAAGGTCTCCTGTGGGGTCAGGACAGCATGGCTTGTGTGCTCCAAACAACGCAAGCTGTGTTCCGGTACTCAGGGAAAAGCAATAGAGAGGAGTGAAAAATCAACTTTTATTCGGCTAGCACCAGTCTCTCACTTAGAGAACGAATTTCTTGTTTGAGGAAAAAACTGTGCGATGCTGTACGGTAGATTAGTATTTCCAAAATCGGCCACTGTAATATTTCTGGTCTCACATGTTCTTCCAGGACGTTGCCACACTCCCTTCAAGAGATGGCATCTCCTGCCCCCTCCCCTTGAAACCGGGAGGGCCTTTGTGAAAAGAATTCGATGGCTAGAATGCAGCAGAAGCAACACTGCCAGCTTCCAAGGCCAGGTCAGAAAGGCAGCAGGGGTTCCCCTCCCCGCCCCACCCCTCTCTTACTCTCTCTTTCTCTCTCTCTCAGAATGCATACCCTGGGAACACAACCACCATGCTGTGAGGGTCTCAGAGGACCCAGAGGACAGCCTGGCTCCTATAGGAGCCGAGGTCGGCGGGATCTGGGAGGGTAGGAGAAACACAGGAATATGACCAAACTAAATTGCAGGACAGAGATGGAGGCAACCAGAAGTCCAGGGGGGGAAATGCTCTCCAAGAAAGGAAATGAAGTCACAGGGTGTGAGTTGGCTCTGCAGGGAACAACAGTTACATTACAAGGGTTACACTGTCTTACTAACATCCTGAGGGTAGAAGGGGTGGAGGCGGGGCAAAGACAGAAGAGTGAAATCCTCATTTCTCATCAGATAAAATCAACAGATAAGGCAGAAAAGATAGATGTCTCAGGGAATAACAGTACAAGTTCATACAGAGGTGTGGTTGGCAGAGAAATGGTCCCCAAAGATGTCCCCGTCCCAAACCCTGAAACCTGCAAGTATGTTACCTTACACGACAAAAGAGACTTTGTAGATGTGATGACGTTAACCACCCGAGGTGGAAAGATGACCGTGGATCACCCTGGTGGGTCCAATGCAATCACAAGGGTCCTTAAAAGATGGAAGAAGGAGGCAGGAGGGTCAGAGAAGGAGACCAGACCATGGAAGCAGAGGTCGGAGTGATGTGATTGCTGGCTGTGAAGATGGACGAAGGGCCACGAGCCAAGGGATGCGAGCAGCCTCTAGGAGGTAGAAAAGGCAGGAAGCAGATTCTCCCCGGAGCCCCCGGGGAGGAATGCAGCTCCACTGACACCTTGATTTTAGCCCAGCGAGACCCATTTTGGACTTTTTTTTTTTCTGTTTTATCTCCCCAAATCCCCCCAGTACATAGTTGTATATTTTAGTTGTGGGTCCTTCTAGTTGTGGCATGTGGGACGCCACCTCAGTGTGGCCTGATGAGCGGTGCCATGTCTGCGCCCAGGATCCGAACCAGCGAAACCTCCGGCCACCGAACTGGAGAGCACAAACTTAACCACTCGACCACGGGGCCGGCCCCGCATTTTGGACTTCTGACCTCCAGAACTGTAAGATAACAAATTTGTGTTGTTTTAAGCCACTCAGCTTGTGATGATTTTTAAAGCTGCCATAGGAAACTAACACAGCAGGTAATGACCAGAAGGAACGGCTAAAAGGGTTGAAAGTGTTTTCTGAGAAGCCCAACTGTGGGAGGAGAGGAATGGAGTGAGGGGCAATTCCTCACATTCTGTGCCTTTCAATTCTAGGTAATTCTTCGACTATAGGCATCTGTGACTTTGATTAAAAACAAAATTTTAATTTAGCCAGGGCTCCCTCACATCCTAGTAACCTAAGAAGAGGACTTTGTGAAAAAACTGACCATGGTAACTTTAGGGGTGTGGCCTGAACAATTAAACAATTGATAGGGCTTCCATGCACACCTACTGTGCGCCCCACATACACAGGGTGTTAGGAGGGATTTTAAAGATGCCCGGGTCCCTGCACTCAGGGCCTCAGTCAAACCTACTTGCCTCCCACCTCACAAGACCCAGAGCTGGGCAGAGCTGCCCTGCGGGGCAAGGGCCCCAAGGCCGCTGGGCGCTGGGGGTCAGCAAAGATCGAGATGGGTTGGTGTCAGAGGGAACTGTGTTTCCTGGAGGGCTGGGCTCGAGCTGACTGTGAAGAATTGGAGGACATTTGAGGAGTGGGAGGGATGGTGGACAAAAGCCTTGAGAGGGAAGTGAGAACCATGGGTTGGGGGACACTGGAGACCAGCTGGAGGTTCCGCATAGATGAGACTCACCCCACGGATGAGGTGTGGAAGTATACAGCCCACAACTGCAGATTTACACACCTGTTGTATCCAACTACGTTTGCCAGGCACTCTGACATCGCTCAGACTCATTCGGAGCATTAACTTGGAGATTTCCTGCTCCGCTGAGCAAGTCCCACTTAGAGGGAGAGAAGGAGCCCATGGCTGTTCCTCTGAGATATCTTGTCTACCATCAATTCATTCAACAAACACTGCCCACGTGCCAGGACCACTGTAGGCACCGGGAATCCTGTGCTGATCAGGACAGCGTGGGAGCCTTCCCTTGGGGCTCACGTTCCAGGAGGGGGATTGGTGCCGAACACAGGCGTTCATGCTGGAGGCTGGTGAGTGTTTCGAGGAAAAGTACAGCTGGGTGAGGGAAGCGAGAGTGTGCTGTTCCAGATGGAGGAATCGAGAAATGACAAAGATGATGACATTTGAGCAAGAGGGACTGACAGCTGAGCGGGATTTACTGCAACTTACCTATCACGGTGCCGCTGGTAAATCTCCGCCAGAACCCAAAGAGGTTCTGTGGTTTATCCTTTGATCTGTCGATAATACAAACGACAGTCCTGTTGCCACAGGAAACCATTCCAGATGTATGCTCCCATTTGCAAAAGTTACAGCTCAGCTGCCCAGCTCTGCCTGCTACAAGCATTTATCGGCTCTTCACCACCCTGGGCTGGGCAACTTCCAGAGACAGACGTGGACACATGGTGACCTCACCTATCAGAGCTCTGAGAACATGGCACATTTCGGGAGTGCGATGGACACGCCGTTCTCCCGCAGATCCTTCTGGGCCTCCGCTCTCTGTATAAGGCTGTGCAGCCAGGCACACATAGACAGACAGAGTCCTCAGCACGGGTTCGGGGTTGCTATCTTTGGAACTGGTGAACGTCTTCTGAGTCTCACAGGGGTCATGTCCACCTGTGGTTATCTCTTGGCAGGGCGTTGGCCTTATAAAGGCATGCACATGCCTGTGCCACTCAAGCGGAAGGAATTCAGGCACGTGGCCTGGGAGCTCTGAGATGATCCTCCCCGTTCAGGAACTGCGGAGGTAAGACTGGGTTCAGAGCTCAGCGCCACCTTCTGAGATTCTGCAGCAGTGGTGCCCAAACTTCGGTGTGCTTAAAAATCAATTAGGTGTGTGTTGAAAATGCAGATCCCTAGGTCCTGAGACCCAATTCAGACTCAGATGGTCCGTCTGAAGAGGAAGCTGGGATTCTGTAATTTACAGTCCCCCCACAACTTCAGATGCTGGTGGTCCACAAAGCATACTTTGAGAATGTATTACAACTGAAAAGTAGAGTTGGAGGCAAGTGTTTTGAGATGCCATCTCCTACAGCAGCATGCAGGCAGCTGTAAAGAGCACAGAACAGCTTCCTTTTAAAACCAAAGTGCAAAGCCCTCCAAAATGTCAGCAGCGAAGAGGTGTAGAGGAGAGGCCGGTCCAGACAGAGGAGATGCCGGTCCAGACGGATCCATTTTTCAGCTCACCTCCAGGGCTCCCAGCCTCATCCCTCCAACATTCACCTTCCCTCTGGAGCTGGATTTTTTTTACTCCGACTTCCATCATGCCCATCAAAATTCCAATCCTAGATCAAAGTCTGTTTCCTCTTATCCCCTGAGTATATCCAAAATTAGCTGATATTTGCAAAAAAAATGTTAATAAAACTAAGGCTGCAGAAAAGTAAGGGGAATTCTTACTGACAATGCAAATAGCAACAAACATGCAAGTTTCCAAAATGTAGGTTTCTGGTGCTGTGATGACCATCCAGCAGCAGTGAGTGGGTGCCCCTCACTCCCAGGCCCCCTGTCCTCGCCTCCTGGACTCCTGCTGGCCTCCATCCCCCTCCGTCTATCAGCCAACACAACCATCACTGCTCTGAGAACCGAGGCAGGAAATGGAAAGATGGTTTCTTATCCACATGCACACCTCCCCTGCCCGTAGAGTGACTCCAGCTGTGCTGTGCCACCCCCAAGCGCTCGGGTCTCTCGGGCCCCAAGCTCTGGGCTCTGGGCTCTGCAAAGACACGTCTGTGCACATCCTATTCATCACACATCCATCACTTCATGGGTAAGCACAACATACATGCCAAAATAATCCAGTGCTCCAGGAGAAAAGACATACCGAATATAGCAAAAACCTGAGAACTGGCCCCTTGGATTTACGTCCAATAAAACATGTCAAGCTGTCCAACCAGGAAGCCTACATCTATCTCTCCCCTTCACAGTCTTCCAGCGGCCCCACTTCTGACACCCACCTTCCTGAGTTCTTATCTTCATAACTAGTTCTTAACCTGTAGGAAAAGACCACATTAAAAAAAACGAGTTACGGCGTGATAAAGCATTTGTTTGGATTTGTAGATTAATTTATGTGCCACATCAGATAACTCCATAACATTAAACTGCATTCAGACGTTTAACAGATCACCGCCACTGAAAAGAATCAGATTCCACGGGATGGAGACTGTCTTGGAAAATCTGGGCTGCGTGGTTGCCGTAGTAATTGATGCCTTCTAGAACAAATCCATGCTTGGCTAATTGCAGCCTTCTATTTTTAAACTCATCTACATTCTTCTCCCCCCACCCCAACATTTCTCACACTACTTCAGCAATAAAATACTATTACTGTTATCTGCACAGCCCGTGCTGATCTCAAAATAACTTGTTTCCAGTCAGCCTGCTCCTGGCATGTGAGGCGAGGGGAGCTGGCTCCCCAGGCACGTGGACGGCCAGAGAGGTACCTTGAATGAGCCCCAAACACTTCGCACAATAGGAAGGAAACAGCAACACAGACTTCCAGGGCTTCAGCCGCCTTGTGAGCCCCCGGGGTCTGGGGGTTGGGGTGAGGCCTGCTCAGTGGTCTGCTCACCGCCTCCCTGAGCCAGGCTGGGGCCCCGCACTGCCTCATGGGAAGTTCTTTGGTAACAAGCCACAGAGGTGATGGCAGAGTAGTCCTGAGGATGACCCGATGGTCAGTCCAGAGCCTATGGGACTGTGTTAGGACATCCCAGGGACCATGTCAAGGCCCAATACCTGCAGCCTGAGAAAAGGCTTCCGTCAGCTTTGCTCTCCAGGCTCCTGACGGGAAGCCTGGGTTCTGCTGACTCCGTCTGAAGGCACTGACTTTGTCTGTGCCCGGCCTCTCTCCCAGCTTCTGATGGCTTGCTGGCGATCTTTGGCCTTCCTAAACCTGTAACTGCTTCACCCAGATCTCTGCCCCCATGTTCACATGGCATCCTCCCTGTGTGCACGTCTGTGCCCGAAGTCCCCCCTTTTATAAGGACACTAGTCCTATTGGGTCAGGGCCCACCCTACTCCAGTAGGACCTCATCTTGACCAATTACATCTCCAATGACTCTATTTCCAAATAAGGTCATATTCTGAGGTCTTGAGGACTAGGACTTCAACATAGGAATTTCTAGGGGATGCAACTCCACCCATGAAACTTGCCCCTGGCAGAGACACGAAGGAAGCAAAGCGGAGCGAGGGAACGCCTTCCAGGGGACCAGAGGGAAGGTTTGTGTGGGCGCTGACCAGAGGCTGCTGGCACGGGGAAGCTGGAGGCAGCTAACCAGAAGCGGGCATCCTATGCGATTGGTCAGGAGGGCACACTGGGCTTTCTCTGGTTGGTCCTGAGTTGGAAGTAGGGGCAACAATTAGAGCAGTTGGCATCATTGAGCCAGTCCTGGCTGTTCTGAGCCAGTCGTTGCAGAGGTTCTGTTTTTATATCTATGGTCTCTCTGTTCCCCATTTGTATGTCTGGTCTGTCGGTGCAAATGCTACCTCCTGACGGTCTCGGGGTGCTGCTGGGACCGGTGGCCTGGAAGGGCCTGGAGGGCCTGTCTGGGGCAGGTGGTCTGCAAGGCCCAGCAATGGAAAGGCTCAGCGCCCACAGCAGCAGACCCATGAGAGCCCCACACAGAGCAGAGGCCAAAGGCCACCTAGGGGTTCCTTCTGCTGTCGTCTCTCTTTATTCCTACGGCTGAGCACAGATGAGTAGTGGGAAAGTGTAAATACACCGACCCTAGAGCAGCCATCATCAGCCTTCGTGGTCTTAGCATCCCTTTAAAGACCCCCAAAGGCTTTTGTTTATACGGAGGATAGCTATCAATATTTACCGCATTAGAACTGAGAAATTTTTAAAATATTAAACTCATTACATGTTAATATAAATAACGTATTTTTATGAAAAGTGTGTTCTCCAAAAGAAAAAAATTGCAAGAGTGGTTTTATTTTAAATTTTTGCAAATCTCTTGACCGTCTGGCTGAAGAGAAGCCAGCTGGAGGATCCTGTCTGCTCCTGAGTGCCATCTGTCGCGATATCACACATCGCAGAGCCCCTGGAAACCCCACGTTACACTCACGGGGGCGAGCAAAAGCTGTAACACAGTAGAATTACCATGAAAAATAGTTTTGACCTTGCACACCTTCCAAAGCGTCTCGGGGACCCCCAGGAGCCCCCAGACCACTGCCATAGACTCATGCTTAGGCAGAGATTGGACCTGCAGGGTGCCCGGGGGTAGGAGGGAGAAGGGCTCGGTGCGACGTCGGGGGAGGAGGATTACACACCACCCTAGTCATATCGATTCAAGTCTCACAAGATAGAAAAGCGCCCCAAGCCTGAACAAAGAGATCAGAAGTTTTAGCCTTAGGTCTAAGTCAAGGAATTTTAACATCTTAATTTTTTTTTTAAGATTTTATTTTTCCTTTTTCTCCCCAAAGCCCCCTGGTACATAGTTGTATATTTTTAGTTGTGGGTCCTTCTAGTTGTGGCATGTGGGACGCTGCCTCAGCAGGGCCTGATGAGCGGTGCCATGTCTGCGCCCAGGATCCAAACTGGCAAACCCTGGGCGCCAAAGCAGCGCGCGAACTTAACCACTTGGCCACAGGGCAGCCCCAGGAATTTCAACATCTTTACCTCCCACCTGAAGAAGCAAAAACAAGAAAAGCAGAAATGGAAAAAATAAATAACCCCTCATCGTTTGTTAGTTCCATTTTTCCTCTACTCTTTCCAAGATTATACACAATTAGAAACTGATTTAACTGATGGACGCTGGGGAGCATTAGTGCCCCAACCCAACACACAAAACAGAGACCTCCTGAGACCTCCCTGGTCCCCCACAGCCAGCGGGGCACAGGGCTGAGAGCAGGACAGCCACAGAATGATCATGTGCGAGTCTCTTTCTCTTCCAGGCTTCTTGCCTCTCAGTCCCACCGTCTCTCCTTGTTCTCTAACTTCTCTCGGCTTTTTCTCTTTTTTCTCCCCCTCTGACTGCGGCATACCCTGAATCAGGGTTAACCATAACATTTCAGAGGAAAGTGGCTGGGCACTTACTAGAGCAGATTAAGGCAAACGCTCTCCTTTAAAACAGCTGATTTTATGTTATGTGAATTTCACCTGATTAAAAATAAAATAAGAATGCCCTTATTTTAAAGTCAAGTTCAATTTTTTTAATGTTTTAATCCTATATAAAGTGTTCATTTCAGCCACTGATTTAATAAGGAAGAGTGAACTGGAACTTCTGGTTCTATAAAATGTGCTGCATGATATGTGTTAATTTTTAAAGAAAAGTTAGTGAATCATGCAATTTCCCAAGGTTATGCTTCAAATATAAAGAACAACAAATTAAGTATGGATCCAACCACAGAGGATCAGAGATACTCAACTTAGTTCTTAAAACACAAGCTTGTGTCTCCAGAAGTCAACGGCTCGATGGACCTGTCACTACCCATCCGAGCAGAGCTTCTGTCTCTCCCAGAAGGCACAAAGACATCACGGTGAAGAAGTGTTTGGGGAAAGTAAACGGGCACAAGGATGAAATTGGAAATCAGAGGTAATGGTCAGCTACTGCTGCGGTCACACCACGTAACAAGCCACCCCAGCACCCAAGGGTCTTATTATTGAGTTTATGGTGTTGCAGGTTGATTGTGCTTTGGCTGATGATCTAGGCTGCAGTTTGGATTCTGGTCTCTTCCCCTTCTTTTCGTGATAAATAGCAGAGCACAAGAGTCAAGAAAAACCACACAGGCACATGTAAGACCTCTGCTCCCATCACATTTGCTAACATTCCCTTGGCCAAACCCAGCCAACCAGGTCAGGCTCAACATCAAAGACTACATCGCATCCACAGTGAGAGGGGGGTCATTACTGAACAGTGATCCACACGATCATCTTGGGCAGGGAGAAGACGGCAGTCAAGATAAAATTTGTGGAGCAGCATCCTATAGAAAACTTGAAAAACATGTTGCTTTGATTTCAAGTCTGGTATGGAAGAGATCCCGTAGGGGAACATTTTAATAGGATTCTTCTAAAATAATAGTATCTTGCAAAAGTGAAATTTATTGCTAACTCTGCATTTTGAAACACATACATTAAATGATATCAAATGGAAATAAGGCACTTTTTGTAAGAAAAACTGTAAATCAAGTCGTCCTACCTAAGAAGAAATAGTGACTAGAGGCCATCGTCACTCATCCATTCATTTCTCGTTCACACTAGAGTGTTACTGGGTGACCCTCATGTGCCAGGTGCTCTGCTGGGACTGTGGGTATGAGGATGAAAAAGACACCTGCCTAAAGCACTCACAGTCCAGTTGGGGAGGGGAAAAAAAAAGGAAGGAAAGAAATGCTCATAAATAACTAGAGCTTGAGATAAAAAGTAATAAATATCATTTTTTAACGCGTAGATAAGATGCTCTAGGGGTTTAGCAGAGGGAGCATTACTTCCAGATGTTGAATAAGAAAATATTGTGGTTGACACGATTACAAGAAATTCACAGAACTTCCAAACCAGAGAGGACAACCCAGCCAAACTCTTCATTTCACAGAAAAGGAAACTTGGATGAAGTAAGTGACATTCCAAAAATCACACAGCCCCAGTAAAACGGCCAGGACTTGAAGAATGACGTCTTCTACTCCCATTCCACGACTCTTTGCCCCTCTGATTCCTTTAGCACCTCTCCTACAATCCCAGCAGTCACTTTCCTGGCAATGTTTCAATTCCATACGATGAGAAGGGACTTCGCTAAGAGGATGATATTTACAAGGTGGGGAGAGAGGCACGAAGAGAGAGAACGTGGTTAAATAAATACCAAGCCCATCGGAAAACAAAGGTAACATCAGCCAGAAATTTATGACCTGCAAATATTTTCCTTATTTTTGCTGCCGTCGATATTCATGCAGACTCTTTGTTCTTTGACAGAAATACCCAGAAACAGGCCGGTCTTTTCTGGCACGAGGAGCGGAGATGTTCTCAGTGATGCAATGTGTCTCTTGTTCTAAGAGCCCTTTAAGGATGTGAGTTACGGGGCCTCAGATCCTTTAAATTATGCTCACGGTTTGGCAAAGAACTCTTAACTGCCTGGCCCATTAATCAGGCCAAGCCATAAATTTCTTGCCTCATTGCCCTGGGGAGAATCCTTCTGGAAGATTTTCGTGCTGGAGTAGTTTGGGAAGCTCCTGCAAGATCAATGAATGGCCTTGTCAGGTCAGCGTCTCCCTGCCCCGAGGAGAACACAGGGCAGCCCCAGGACACACATCCACGGAATTCCCCAACAGCCTTGTCCACCCACTCTGTGGCATGGGATCTAGGACAGGCCACTTGATCACTCTGGATCCTCATCTATAAAATGGGAATAATCCTACCTACCTCCCTGGAGTGTTTTGAAGGTTAATGAAATTAAGCATGTGAACCAGAAGGCTATGATGTTAAAAATATTAGGTGATCACAAGAGTATATCCTGGGACACGGCACAGCCTCGCCCCAAAGCCTCCTTATTCTTTGCTCTAGCTCCACTGGAGAAGGCCCCTCATTCTTGTCCTCCCCAAACCTCCCACCTTTGTCATTCAAAGCACCGCCAGAAGGAGAGCCCCGGCATCATAATGGTTGAAGAAATGGGCCTGGAATTTGCTGTGGACCAAATCCATTTCATTCTCCTCCTTTCTTTCTGAAATGCAAAACAGGCAGGACACATCACCCAGAGGGCCATGAAAATGGCAAGCCCGACCTTAGGAGTCCTGGCCCTGGGTTCCTAGGGCACCTTCCTGCAGGAGCACCAGGCCATCCTCGCAGCCAGAGGGCACTATTCTCCCTTCTATATAGTCTTCCGCCCTATCTTTGGCAACAGCCCAAGGTTTCTCCAGGTGCAACTCTCAGGGTGAGTCTTCAATGGCTGCGGTATCTTTGCTCAGTTCGACTGTGAAATAGTAATGCAATGATCTCAATCCAGGCGGATAACGTATGAGCATAAATTGAGACTCTAAATCTTTGTTCCGGCCACAGCACCTAATGAGTACCAACCCACAAGAGCCGGGGAAGGTCTATCCCACCTTATCAGGGTGAACCCTTAGGGATGCGTAATTGGCATATACTTAAACCTAGGACTGGAGGGCTGGGCCAGAAGAAACGCTATTCCTGTCTAAGACCAACCAACGGAGTTTACTGAGTACGTATAAAATCTCTGAGCTTTCAGAGCTCAGCAACACTTGCTCCCATGCAGGAATGTTGCAGTCCCTTCACTCTCTCCACACCTGTGGGTCTAGTCCTTGGCCAGAAACTCTGGATCTCTCTCTGTGGATCCAACCCCCAGCATCCAGTGCAATACACAGGCTCCTGGAGAGAGGGCACCCACAACAACCCACACCTGAACACTGGGGGACTCCAGATTCCTAACCCTACCTCAAAGAAAAGTGTGTGCCATAAAAAAAAAAAAAAAAAAAAAAAAGTTTAGTTTAGATAGATTTGTTGTACATTTGTTGTGTTAGATAATTCTAAAGTAAATATGTGATGTGAAAAGACTCCCTCCACTTTATTACACGTCTGAAGTCAGTGGCGTGAATATAATGCAGTTCACTGTAGACCTCTGGCCTCCTCTAGTCTTTCTCAGAAACTGCTCATGGCCCTGTATCTGCTCTCGGCTTAGCTCTTGCTTCCTCCCATAAACACTGTATAATTCAGTGGTATCACTTTTTGAAAAGCAATTTTTGAATTTGATGAGGTGATTCTAAAATTGTTATAGAAATGCAGTTTTGATAGAAATGCTATAGAATATCCAAAACAATTTTGAAAAACAAGATTAAAGTTGGAGAAATTATACTATTTGATTTTAAGACTTTAAGACTATAAATATATAGCGATCGAGACTGTGCGCGTTGGCAAAGAGGTAGACAAATAGGTCATCGGCTTCTAGAACGAGATCCACACTTACATGGTCAATTGATTTTCAACAAAGGTGCCAAGCTAACTCAAAGCGGGAAAGGATATTCTTTCCAACAAATGGTGCCCAAGAGACTGGATAGCCATATGGAAAAAAATTCTGAATTTATTAGCAGAAATATCAGGAAAATTAAATTCCTCATATTAGTAATTTAGTTTTTTCTTTAGTCTACAAATGTTTTAATCTCTCCTAAGAGTCAACTTTTTGTTTTATTGATTTTCTCTACAGTCTCTCCATTTTTCATTTAATTAATTTCTGTTCATATTATTATTGCCTTCCTTCTATTTACTTGGCATTTACTATTTTTCTTTATTTTTAGCTTAATGGACCATTGATGTTAAACTTTTCTTCTTATTGAATATATGTATTTAAAGCTATAACTTTCCCTCTATGCACGACTTTAGGCGAATTTCACAAAGTCTAAAATTCTTTAAAATACTTTCTAATTTTCCTTGTGACTTCTTCTTTAGTCCATAGGTTATTTAAAAACATGCTGCTCAGTTTTCAAATATTTGAGGATTTTCTATCTATTTTTAATTAATTCTATTGTGATCAGAAAGCATTATTTCAATACTTTTCAAAGTGTTGAGATTTATTCTGTGGTCTAGTTTAGTGACTGTTCCATATGCACTTAAAAAGGGATATGTGTTCAGATGTTGCTGGCTTTAGTGTTTGGTAAATGATAAACAGGTTAAGTTAGTCAATAGGAT